ACGAAAAGTATTCCAAGAAAGGACAAACGAAAAAAAGAGTCTTAGTTGTGAAAGGATAATCAAATTCTCGATGAGTACGAGACGATGTTAGGCAGCCTGCAATTGAACGTCACAACATTACACTTAGAACAGTTAAGGGGGGACATCTGAGAAACAGGCGAAAAAAACGGATTTTCTGGAACAGATTTTTTTTGGCCAAATGAAAAAGCCAATCGAAAATTTGTAAATGAGGTTTTATTATATTATATTTAAAGTACACAATAAAATTTTTTTTTAATAAATCGAAAACAAAATGGCGGGTCTGCAGCCTTTATTCGTAGGCCCTATTTTTTTAAAGGCGGTCCATGGCCGAACACCTAACGTCCCTAATTTTTTATCTAGAACAAAAAGTCAAGTTTGGTTAGTTTCTGTATCCCAACGGCTATCGACACACGTAGGATTTTTTCCATATATGAATTTTTTGCAAAATGGTGAGTGATTGAAAAAAATTTTCAATTTTCACGAACAAAAAACGTCACAAAATTGTTGATAAAAAAATAACTAAGCAATATAAAAAAAATCCTACGTGTGTCGATAGACATTGTGAGAATACTGTCAAAATTTTAGATCGATAGGTTAATAGTTGTTCGAGTTATGTGTTCGGCCAACTCAAAAAAAGCGGTTTCGAGAAAAACGCGTTTAAAGTTTTAAGTACTGTGGGATATACCTGTGAGGCATCGGCGCAGAATGGAAAATTTCGATACTTAGACACTTTGGCCGGACTCTATCTTTTGATATGTTATTTTTAAGGCCCTAACAAATTTTTTAAGCGAAAAAAAAAATTTTCGATTTTTTTAAAACTCTACTCAGATGTCCCCCCTTAAGGGGTTATATACCTTTTTTATTTTCAAAAAATCGAAAATTTTTTTATTGCTTTATCTTGAAGAAAAACTCATTAAGAACATTTTCCCAAATTTTCATACAGATTGGAGCAGTAGAAAAAAAGTTACAGCGCTCCTAACCGCGTGCCTCATTGCGGCTTTGAACTGAACTTGAAACTTTAAACGCGAATATCTCGAAATGGTGTTTCTTGAAAAATGACTTTGCGGTGACATGGATTGGCGGAAAACTACTGAACCGATTTACTTCAAATTTTTTTTAAAATGTTCGTAATGAAATTCTTCTGTGCTTGAACGATCGACGTTTCACGCACTAACTTTTTTTTCGCCGAAATGAATTTTTTAGTAAAATTTCTAGAGACCAAAAAGTTCATTTTTAGCATAAAACGTTCCCATATGAAAAAAATAAATAAAAATTTTAAAATCGATCGTTCAAGCACAAGGAAATACGCTAAACTAATTAAATTTTTATACTTTTATGGTTTAAGTTGACCTGTTTGACGTGGGGAACTGTCACCGCAAGGCTCTAAAAAAAAAAAGCCTCTAAGGGAAACAGCCACTCCTTTAAAACTATTTAATATTTTTCCACCAAATTTTTCACATTGTTAATAAAGTGTACTATCAAAAAATTAAAACATCCCTGTAATTAAATAATTGCTACATACCTAAAAAAAAATCCGAACTTTGCTCTTTTTCTTCGACAAAGAAGGTATATAACCCCTTAAGTAAGAGGAGATTGTTTAAAGACCACAAGAAGGCTTCGTTAAGGTTTAATTGTAATGTAATGTAATTGTAATCATGTTATGTTTTTAAACAAAACACGCCGCATGCGGCTTAGAAAACCCTTGTGGATGATCGAAGTGAATTTAACAAGGTTGGTTGTAGTAGATCGATGCTTGACAAAACCATTCTCCAGCCGTTTCTTCAGCTTGTGAGCCTTTTTTATGAAGCGGAATAATAAATAATTAATTCCATCGCTTGGGAAGACATCCAAGCTCCAAGGATAAATTGAACAAGAAAGAAGAGTTAACTTCGGGCGGATCCGAAGTTGATATACCCTTGCAGTTAAAACCGGATATATATCGCAAACATTGAATATAGTTGGCCGATCCTTATGAGAATATGATAATATAACCCAATTTATTATAATACAAAATCTAAAAAAAGAACCAAACTTCTATCTTGAAAAATACAAAAGTTGGTATTTTTACCAAATACCATTTCCGATCGTTCAGTTATATGGCAGCTATAGGCAATAGTCGGCCGATCCTTACGAAATTTAGCATGTCGTATTATTTTGCCAAAAATAGCTATGAAATTGAAACTTGTGAAATTTGAACTCTCTAACTGTAAAGTTATACCGTTTCCGATCAATCAGTTATATAGCAGCTATAGGTTATGGTCAGCCGATCCGGGCCGTTCCGACTTATATACTGCGTGCAAAGGAAAGAAGGGTGTGTGCAAAGTTTCAAGTCGATAGCTTTAAAACTGAGAGACTAGTTTGCGTAGAAACAGACAGACGGACAGACAGACGGACAGACAGACGGACAGACAGACGGACAGACGGACATGCTCATATCAACTCAGGAGGTGATCCTGATCAAGAATATATATACTTTATAGAGTCGGAGATGTCCCCTTCACTGCGTTGCACACTTTTGACCAAAATTATAATACTCTCTGCAAGGGTTTAATAAGATAGTAAGAGGATAGCAAAGGATATAAGAGCAGTGCCTAAGAACACAGCTAGGGATTTGCCAGGACCAGCAGAAAATGTGAAACCTATTGTTCAGATAACTTTGAACACTTCATGAATTGAAACATTTGAAACATTTGAACCTTAAAGCCAGCATCATAATGAGGCACATCGATTAACACAGATGCTAATAGTATAGAATGGTGAAAGTCTTTTGGAAGCGATAGATGCGACGAACGAGGAGAGGATGTCACATTAAAGAATATAAGGCCCATAAGTGTTATGAATGGGGTTAAATTGGAGTAGAGCAATATCAGTAAAGCCATCGATAAAGTATTATGACAACTGCAAAGCTGGGAATTGTCATCCTCAGACGGGATCCAGGAAATGAGGGGAAGGTTGAAATCTCCCATGATTAGAATTAAATGAGAGTTATTCACCAAAAAAAACAGACTTAATGGTCACAAGGTGGTGAAAACAAACGAATCATAAGAACAGGTTAGGAAAATATGAGACGGGAAAGTTAAAAATGTTACTCCAATGAACTCTATCGAAACTCATTGGAGAAAGGGATACGTTCAGCAGGGTATTTATTATTACCAGCAATAAGGACACCACCGTCAAAAGACAGACAATGCAATCGAAACATAGTTAAATTGGAAACAACAATTTTATAATCAAAGACAGAGGAATTAAGATAAGTTTCAGTATGCAAAATAAAAAAAAACACTCTTTGTAAAAAATTTACCTAATTTACCAAGAATACTTCGAACGTTTTGGTAGAAACAGGAAATACTTTGTTTTTCAGTTTTTTGAAGCTGTTTCTACAGGGCTAGGAATCTAAGCGTCTTTGTTTAGGAATTCATTATTGATACGGTGTTAAGGCAAAGCAATATGATCAAGTGCTTTTTCAAGGTAGGAATCACGTAGGACTATTTTAAAAGAAGATATAAAATGCTTGTCTTTAAAGTTAAACTTAAAAACATCTACTCTATTAGGACCTCACCCTGTGGTGGTGTCACCTGTTAAACCATCTTGAGGGAGCTGACATCATTAAAAAGGCCGTCCGGGAAAAGGCGAGAAACAAATATGGCCTTAAGTACGGGGACCAACCGCCCTCAGCGTAAGCCCAGAAGATCTAACTTTAGGCGCAGCATGTAGGTTGTCCAACGATGGAGGCTCTAAGATGATTGGTGGCCCAAGATTTTTTCTCGGTACACTGACCGCTACATGCAAGGGATCAACTTCAGTCTGCCCTGCTGGAAGGCTCAAAATATCCCTTGGTACTAAAAAGTACATCGTCCTTGGTACATCAGTAGGTAGGCAAGTAGGCCTAGAGATAGGCCGAGGTAGGGATACCCAAAAAATTAGCATTCAGCAGGTTTTTGTTAGAAAAGCTTCTTCTTTGGAGATTCACTTAACAACATTAGACCCAGGAATTGCTTATTAATGGCCGAGAATTGCTTGCGAACATCAAGAAAATCATTTCTTGCCTGCTTCATAAAAGTCCACATCTCTGACTCGATTTCCCTGCAAGCGATACAAGACCTCGTCAAGCCAAACTTATTGATAAGATCACTCATCCGTCTATTGGGTCCACCTCCATCACATTTAATATGAGAGCAGTTACTGCAATTCGTTGGATCCACCGAATTCACATTATTTGGCTGTGCGACTTGACTCATTGTTGACGGATTGCTAAGCTTTGTAGTAGAGTGTGAAGAATTTAGATAGGCACCCTGTAGCTCCCTGTACCCGAGAGTAGTCGATCCTATGCGACAGAAATACGAAATAAATAGTTCAACGAACTTAAAATAACTTTAACTTAGTCAAATATATTTTGAGAATTAATCGATATATTTTGAAAAGTGAAAACTTTAATTCTATGGTCGAAGAAATAGGCAATCTGGCGAAAACGCCAAAGAAACAATGTTTCCAAGAAACAATGTCTCAAGAAACAATGTTTCCAAGAAACAATGTTTCCAAGAAACAATGGCTCAAGAAACATGTCCGGATACAGCAAAGTGCAAACGACGAGTGATCAACTACTACCTGGGACTAGGACGATTTCGAAATTTGTTAATTTTTTTAGGCTAGTATTATTGTTATTATTATAATTTAATTAACATTTAACCAATACATTACCAGTTTATTCCATAATTTATTTATATTTCATTTCTATGGTAACTATTAGAAATTGGTTGGATTTAAGAGGAATCAATTTTTTGCCACTTGTGATTTAGTACTATTTATGATTTTTAATAAATATAATTATTTTGTCAGTCTTCTTATACTTTTAATATATATGCACCTATTACACATCTAGAAAGTGAAAAATTTCTAATTTCTAATAGATAGACAGTGACAATCCGACTTATATATACGTTCAGATAAAAATATATACTTTAAAACCCTATTAAACTTACTTGAATTGCTGCACGTGCTCCTCGGCTAATGGCTGGCATCACACTCGTATTTTTTATGCATTGTTTTTTTTGATTCGGCGTTAAGCCACTTACTTTATAACAATTTTTTGGATTCAAATCAATTGGTTCAAAATAATCTTTAGGAATATTAGATGAATCATTTTTAGGCTTATTTTGTCTAGTCGAATCGTTTTTTTCTATATTAGTTATAACGAATTCTCGATCGCTAGCTATTTCTGCAGATGTCATCACAATATCTTGATTAAAATTATCTGTTTTACGAGAACGATTTTCAAAGTTGTCCTCTTCAGAAACTTCATCAGGCTTACGACTACGGAGCGGCGATCGTTGAGCTCTTAAAAGAAATTCACCGTCAGATTGTATTTTAAAGGAGTCCGGTATTTCGATGGATACGGCAAATCGTTTTGTGTTATTGATGGTTTGAATAATTGGCTGAAACCGCGGTTGTATATATTCAGCTTGTCCTCGAAACCATTCATCACGATCTCTTTGCCGCTGTTGTTCCTCCTTTCGACGCTGACGTAAGCATTTTGGTGAATCTGGATTTCGAAGGCAGACAGGTCTTTTGGTTGTTCGTAAAGGTGTTTCCGTATCAGTTGTATTTTTAGTTAAAGGATTTGTACTCTCCTTTGTTGATGATTCAGTTTTATTTAATAAATTCATTTGAGGCTTTAATAAAAATGTACCTTCATTTATAAGCATTACAGAACTAGATTTGTTAATGGGTTTTGGAAAATACGAAAGTTTATTTAAGCTTTTTTCATTTTTTAAGTTGCTTTCGTCTTCCCGGCCGAAGCTATTTTCATGGTCTTGCGGCATTTTACGAGTTGGGTGTGCAATTGGTGCTGCATACTGAAAAAAAGGCCGTTGAGGACGTTTATTGTTTGTGGCAGATGTGGTCCCAATTTGCTTGGGTTTGTCTTTTTGCAAGCTTGGAAACTTTACGAACTTCGATTCAAAGTTTGTATTTGTTTTTGTCATGTTATGCAAAAAAAGAATATGTTTCTTTAAATCATCAATATTGGACGTTGGGTCAATTTCTTGCGTTATAGGTGTACCGTTGTGAACTGTGGGATTATTATTTTGTCTATCAGAAACATTTTCCATCGCCTCTTTTGTATTAGAAAGTCGAACAGTAGGTAAATTACTGTTACCCCATTGGGGATCAGGTGATATATTTTTTAAGGCCATTGGTACTATAAACTTTCGATCTTCATCAGTTAAACTAGCAGGCAGACCGTTTTCGTCTGTATCATCATCAAGAAGTATTATATTTTTCTGATCCATTTCTTCCTGGATAGGATGAATGTAACGTGATTGCAAATTAGGTGGAGTTAAGGTAAGTCTTTTTGTATGATCTTGTTTTACAAAACCCGTTTCGGAGTCTCGTAGATCAACAGGCTTAATGAATGTTCCTAGCTTGCGCAAGCCTTCTTGATGCATATAGGCTTGTTCGTCTTTAGTTATATTAATGGGTATACTTGTGTTAGCCAATTGTTCTTCCTGACTCCCAAACTCTATAAATGGTGACTTAAGACCAAGGGATCTAAAAAAAAAAAAAAATTAATTATTATACGTGAGCCGTATATGTAGAATTCTAAGAAAGATCGCAGGTATGGTCCAAGATAATAAATGTTAATGTAAATAAGTTATATGAATTGACTTATCTAAATAGACTTATACTAACTTCGTCTTGTCTCCTAGACCGCGCAAAACCTTTACAGATATTGCATCGTGCAAACTCACTTAATAAAAATGGTGTTTCATTCTTTTAACTTTCGGCAACATCATTGTTTGCATTGGTTTTTTTTAAATTGCAAAGGTAAAAAAATTAAAGCTAGTTGGAGGCATCAACCAAAGGTTTAACAAATTTATATACAGAATATCAATACTATAAATCAGTGTTCGGCTCCCATTAGTATTAGTAACAACTAGCAGAAAGTAGGCTGATACCATGACATTTCATACGTTTTATACTGTGTGTGAGCTGCAGAGCTCGGGCAGAGAAATTTTCCATGTCCCTGGTAGTCCTATGGCCCTGCCGACTACTGCTATAAATACATCATAAGCTGCTCTCTCGTCGTTCACCAGTAACTGTTTCGGGTAAAGGGGCCCATCCACAGTCGAGCATGTTGGGCGAACATGTTGTGCTCGACGAAATTTTTCCTGTGGATGGTAGTGTTCGTTGTCAAATTTTGTGTTCGTCACAATGTTTGAATGAAATTGAAATCGTTCTATTTTGACAACGTTTGCAACAACATGCTCGCCAATGGATGGCAATGTTGGCACGAACGTCAGTTTGAAAAACGTTTTGGTAGAGAAAAATGAATAAAAAGTTCCTGCTAGATTTTATTTATTGCCTAAAAAATGAGCCTGCATTATGGCACGCGAAAAGCGATTAACATAAAAACAAGCATTTGCGTAATAAGGCATAAGAAGTTCTACTCAAAAAATATAAAGAGTTCGATGAGCACTGTGCTTCCTTTTTTCGCTTCATTTTTTTTTTCTTTTTTTCTAAGCAAATACTTATTACAGCGCCGCAGTCGTTGTCCGTTGACATGTTGATAGTTTGAAAATTTTTTTGTTTTTTCAGGTCAATAAGGGTTTTGGAAATGGCTTGTTCATCAGTTAGAGCATCAGCTAGCATTCCTCTATTTATCGTAAAGCTTAGAAGCCCAGGCGACCGAGGGGCGCTCGAGAAACGATTTATTAGGTATTAGCAATTTATTAACCAAAGAGGAGTTAGTAAGGACATTTAAAATTCTATATTTTAAATTTGAAGGGCAGGAAAGGGATGTTATAGAGTAGAGACCATTGTAGTTCGAACATAAGACCCTAAAAAGGTCGTGCTGTACATATGTCGAACTACAACGACAAAGTAGTTCTAGTCCTTCTATTAGGAATGTTAAAATTTAAGCGTGTTAATAAATGCTGGCTATCTACATCCCCATTAATTATGTTATTCAGAAAAACTCTACCGAGCATTGTCCTTGTTAAGCTAGGTAAGTTTATTAGTAAGAGTCTACTATTATAAGATGAAAGGCGAAGATTTGCATCCCAGTTTAAACCTCTAAGTTAAAAAGAAAAGTTAGGAAATTCTTTTGTACGGATTCTATGCGGTCCTGAAGTACTCCACATTGGGGACTTCAGACACATGAACCGTACTCCAGTATCGGACGGACCAAAGATTTTAATAAGTTTTTAGTTATGCAAGGGTCTTTAAATTCTTTTGGCCACCTTTTAATGAAACCAAGGACTTCTTTAGCCTTATTAATCATTGTGAAAATATGGTCGGCAAATGTTAGTCTAGAGTCTAATAGTTAATGATCTTAACATGAGTTAATTTCTCTAAGCCTGCAGAGGGCAAGAACGATAAAAAGGCATAAGCTTGAATTTTGATCTATTAAGTAATAATAATTTTCTAAAATGATTCGAGATCAGATTGAAGACTGCTTTGGGCAGAGATGGATTTGTATTGATGCAAATGCAATTTGATGCAAAGGAGGGGGCAAGTCATTAACAAAAAGAGTAAATAATAACGGGCCAAGATGACTTTCTTGAGGGACGCCGGATGTAGCACGGACCAGACGGGACTGTATGTTTTTAAATAAGACTCTTTGTGTCCTTCCATCTAGGTAGCTGGAGATCCACGTTAAGAGGTCTTTAGGAAAACCCAGCTTATTCAGTTTACTCAACAAGAGTGAGTGATTAAATGAATCAAATGCTTTGCTGAAATCTGTGTAAATTACATCGGTTTGATATCCTTTATATCCTTATCCTAGGATAAGCAAACATTTTACTACTCAATATTTCATAAGTTAGGGTCCAATTATAAAATTTAATTATTGTCCATAACTCCGGACAGATTTTAAATATAACTATTGATTGATTGATGATAAAAAAAAAAAAATAATAATAATAACATTCAGTTTACTCAACAAAAGTGAGTGATTAACTGAATCAAATGCTTTGCTGAAGTCTGTGTAAATTACATCGGTTTGATATCCCTTACAAAAGCCATCTATGACAAAGGATGTCAACTCCAATAAGTTTGTGGTGGTGGAGCGACGCTTAATATAGCGAGTGGTAATCGAAGAGCAAAGGTGTTGCAAATGAAGGGTAATTAATTTTTCAAATAACTTTGGAATTGCCGACAACTTAGAGATGCCTCTGTAGTTGGCAGCCTCGGACTTTTTTATGTAGGGGAATTATGAATGATTCCTTCCACTTAAGGGGAAAAATCGAGGTTTCCAAAGATAAGTTGAAAAGTCATAGAAGAGGTTTGCACAGAGCCCTGGCGCAGTATTTTAGCACACAGCCTGGTACTCCGTCGGGGCCTGGCGAATAAATGTCTTTTTACCCTTAAAAGACCAGATAATAAATTTTTCTCAGAAAAAAACGGACAGAAAATAAGATTTGCTGCTTGAATGTTATATGCGTAAGGCTGATCTGTCAAATTAGGCGGAGAATAAGTTGTTTGAAAAAATTCTGCGAATAGATCGGCAATGGCCTGATCAGTCGCCGCAGAGGAATTTTCTAACGTAAGCAGGGGTGAAAAAGATACGTGTTCACGCTTAGTGTTTACAAAATTATAAAACTGCTTTGGATCCTGAATAAATTATATCCGGCAGCGGTCAATATAATTCCTATAACATTCCGCGTCATGCACGGTAAAATTCGACCGAGCTAGAAGGTATCTTGAAAAATCAACACTACTACAGGTTTTTTTGTATTTTGGTAAGAGCTTATTTTTAGTATTTTTTAGGTTAGTGAGGCACCTTGTATACCAAGGAGGATTTGTTGAAGCGGACGAATATTTCCATGGCACACAGAAGTCAAAAAATTTATTTAAAGCAGGGATCGGCACCCCAATACATTGATATGATTTTACCGCATTAGTGTTAGTAACGAATAGCAGAAAGTAGGCTGTGTGCATGACGTTTCACACATGTATACTGTGTGTGTGTGGCAGAGCTCGGGCAGAGAAATTTCCTATGCCCCCGAGATAGGGCCGTGCCGACCTCTGATTTAAAGTAAAGTAAAATTTTTTAAAGTGACGTTATGATCAGTGCATGTCAAAAAATCGGACCAATCGTATGTATCAATAAGGCTATTAAGTTTCTGAAAATCAACTTTACAGAAGCAGCGAATCTTATTTGCCACGCATAGAGACATCTGGCCGATACCAGGAATAGTTTCGATAGAGACCTCCAGTGTGGGGTGATAAGGATCCTCTGGAGTTGAAAGGGGAAAAACTCTGGAGAGAGCGGTACCATCAGGATCAGATACAAAGCATAAGTCTAAAAGCCTACCTAACGAATTTCTAACATGGTTAATCTGACCTAGGGACATGTCAAACATGCCCGCGGTGAAGTTATGGTGAGTGATAAGTGACATAGATGGCCAGATATCGACGTTGGACCACTTTAATTCTGGGATATTAAAGTCGCCCACCGCTACAAGTTGGTCACGATCCGTCATAAGATTAAAGACGTGTCGAATAGCTGACAAATGCTGCCAATATGTAGGTGGTTCAGACATAGGCGGTATATATAAACATGTAATGTATAAAGATTTCACGGACATAGTGATTTTAACGCAAATAAATTCTATGTCACCAAACTATTCTATGACTCCACCCCCCCCTTTCGCTGAGATCGATCTCGTCTAAAAGTGGTGTACTTACTTGGAAAAACTTCGGAAAAACTTAAAGATCTCCTGTTTTACGGGGTTATATACCTTCTTTGTCGAAGAAAAAGAGCAAAGTTCGAATTTTTTTTTAGGTGTGTAGCAATTATTTAATTTCAAGGATGTTTTAATTTTTTGATAGTACACTTTATTAACAATGTTTGTGCAAAATTTGGTGGAAAAATATTAAATAGTTTTTAAGGGGTGGCTGTTTCCCTTAGAGGCTTTTTTTTTAGAGCCTTGCGGTGATAGTTCCCCAGGTCAAATAAGTCAACTTAAACCATAAAAGTAAAAAAAGTTCATTAGTTTAGTGTAATTCTTTGTGCTTGAACCATCGATTTTAAAATTTTATTTTTTTTTATGCATACGGTAACGTTTTATGCTAAAAATAAACTTTTTGGTCTCTAGAAATTTCACTAAAAAATTCATTTCAAATTTGAAGTAAATCGGTTCAGTAGTTTTCCGCCAATCCATGTCACCGCAAAGTCATTTTTCAAGAAACACCATTTCGAGATATTCGCGTTTAAAGTTTAAAGTTCAGTTCAAGGCCGCGACGAGACGCGCGGTTAGGAGCGCTGTAACTTTTTTTCTACTGCTCCAATCTCTATGAAAATTTGGGAAAATGTTCTCAAGGAGTTGTTCTTAAAGATAAAACAATGAAAATTGAAAACAATGAATTTTAGATTTTTTGAAAATAAAAAGGTATATACCCCTTAACCAAGTTTCTGTAAAGGCTATAATTTGAGATGCAAAGGAAGATCTATCAGAATATAGCTTGGGGAGTTTGCTTTAACTAGTTTTTTGGGTTAGTGGCCAAAGAAGAGGTGGAAGGTTGGTCAGTGGTTCCGATAATGGGAA